AGCTTGTATGAAAATTATATTACTTTGCTTTGAAACTTTAATTATAGCAGTTGCTATGCTGCGAAGAAAGATATCTTACCACTACGATTACATTTCAAATATATAATTTCGATAACCTCAATTTCACACATTCTCATTCATAACAATAATTTTTTTCTCTTGCTTTCCATAATTTTGAACATATTCAACGTTCTGGGAAATATGAAGCTTATTTAAAAATATATGGAATTCTAAAAATAAATAGGATAAAACTAGTAAAATTGAAAATTACATATCCATCTTAATTTTAATATTACGAAATAGGTATCTACTAAAATACGTACTACGTACCTTCAATATTAGGGAAATGTAACTCTTCAGTTTCCATTTTTAATTTATGTACTGTACATAAATGAGTTATTAAATCCTTATTAGACCTAAAAGAAATATTACACCCTTCTAAGCACTGAAAGGATTTTTCATCCTTTTCATATAGTAAAATCTTTAAGCATTATCTTTGTGCACCATCTTTAAATGTTTATTCAAATTTCTTATATTGGAAAATGTTTTCAAACACTTGTTGCAAGTATTCATGATTTTACAATTCATCAATAAGTAACAACAATCTAAATCAAAGAGAAATTAAAATTTTAATTGTCAAAGCTGATAAAGTAAATAATCGCCCTTTATCGGTCTTCAACAAATCAAAATAGGCGGCAAATCTTCTAAAATATAACCTCCAAAACTAATGACAGTAATGACAATTGACGCAGATTGACATGTAATATTGCAATATGGCAACATCGATGGCATCTCTTCTATTTTGAGATGTTTGTTATATTTTGCTTCAAATGTGAATGTCATTCGAGACTACCGTTGAAGTTGGTACATTCTGTTTGCTGAGGTAGGAGAACGAACGCTGAATCAGTGCCGTGTGATATTTCGGAATTTCTATACTACTATTACGTTACGCCCTATAAGCAAAAAAGTTGATTGTCATGAAATTTTAAGTTCATTAATATTAACTAAATATTTCCGTGTAAAAACCAATATTTGTCTGTCTTTATTTAAACAATTTCAAAAATCTCTCAACCTTACTATACCCTGGGTCCGAATTGTCTTCCGAAAACTTCCGCAGTATATTCTACACATAAAAATAAGTAAAAATATATTTTAAAAAATATACAGGGTGTTTCAAAAAACATGTGCCATCTCTCGTGGGGAGGTTCCTCACCTAAAAAAAAAAATTATTTTTCATATCAACATATTTCCGATTCTGCTTTGTTTCGTAGCTACTGGGTGTTAAAGCCTTAATATTCTTTCGATTTATTATAATTTTCTTCCAAGTACTTTTAGTGATTCGAATGAAATTTTGTGGCTAAAAGTTTATTTTTACGTGAGGAATCTCCCCACGAGAGATAGCACATGTTTTTTGAAATACCTTGTATATACATAAATACAATATACAGGGTGTCCCAGAAATAAGTGCAAGTATTTTAAGGGGTGGTAGATCTCGATAAAAGAAACATATTTTCTCTTTATCGTTTTTCAAATAAGTCCAAAATAACGGAGTTATTTTACTTTGAAAATTTCCAAAAAAAATGATTTTTTGCCAAAATTTTGAGAACCATTGGATCTTTTCTGGATTTTCTTTCTTGTAAATTTAATCTAATACCTATGTTGCCATATTATCACGAAATTATGTTTTTAACTAAAAACTAAAAAAATTTCCAAAAAATTTTTCAAAAAATTTCGAATTTTCAAAATTTTTTTTCCGCGAAAAAACCTCATAGGCGTGTTTCTGGGGTTGAAGTATATTACCAGTTAAAATATTTGCACTTATTTCTAGGACACCCTGTATATCGTAGTCACATAGTGTATTTCGTCTTTTCATGAAGATCCTAGGTCACTTCATGAAGGGTCGGTTAAGTTAGCAGTCTAGTTATGTCATTAGGTTAGTTTTTTTCATTAAGTGACTAGGCTCTTCATGAAAAGGCGGAATACAATATGAGACTACGACATATACATAAATATATATATATATATATATATAAAAAATATATATATTCATATAAACTTATGTGAAAAATTCGTTTCGGAGATACAGGGTGCAAAAATTTCTTTTTTATTTCGATTTTTTCGAAATAATTTTTGAACTAATGTCGATATTTGCATGAAAATGGGTATCTGGGGTTTTTAACATAAAAAAATTTGATTTAGATATCAATACGACTTCTACTTGTAAAGGACTTCTGGGAAAGAATAATAACTTTTCGTCCATTCCTGTATTACATTACTGAGTGAAAAAATATACATTTGCGCCTTATTTTACGTAAAAAATGTCTCTTGGTAAAAATCGTTGGAAGCATCCGTTCTCATAATATCTGGAATGGATATAGTCTATCTGGAATGGAAAAAGCATCCAGCAAAGTCGGCCTGATGATGGGTATTTATCCAATCAAAAGCTTGACTTTCAAAAAATGGTTTAAAAACCAAATAAAATACGTGGAAATCAGAATAACTATAATAGTATATAATTCTTTAATTTATTCTAAAATTATAATTCTAGCATATATGGTACGATTATGCTAGGAAGAGAATCATCACTATACAGGGTGGTCCGAACTGTATTCCAGAAACTTCGGCATCATATTCTGCAAATAATAATAAGTAAAAAAGTTTGTATAAATGTATATGTCCTAAAATGCTTAGTTTCGGAGATACAAGGTAATAAAATTTCATTTTTTTTCGATTATTGACATAATTAAGCATGTTGACTAAATAGTTATTAGACTGAAATCATAAATTTAAAATGTTTTTGTGCCAAAAGTTCAACAGAAACTGTTTTATTATAATTTTTTCGAAGAAAAATTTATTGTTAATTTAGAAAAATAAAAAGTTCCCAAATTTTTCATTTTAGTCAAATAACTCTATCTACTCAACATGTTTATTTTTTGTCAATAATGACATGTATTGATTATTTCTATTTTAAATATCTTGAGAACTGTTGCTCATAGCGATTTTTACCAAGAGGCATTTTTACGTAAAAAATCACGAAAATGTATATTTTTCGACTCGGTAGTTTTATACAGGTACGGACGAAAAATTATTATTCTATAAAACAGTAAAAACACATATGTAGGTGGCGCCCCCTACAAATAGGAGACATATTTACATCAAAATCAAATTTCTCATGTCAAAAAACTCCCTGACATGAATTTTCATCCAAATATTGACGTTACTTCAGAAATTATTTGGATGCAAGCGAAACTCCGAAACTAAGTATTTTAGGACATACATTTATACGAAGTTTTTTACTTATTTTCATCTAAAAAATATGCTGCCGAAGTTTCCGGAATACAGTTCGGACCACCCTGTATGTACCGGGTGTCCCACTAAGAATAGCTCTCGGCTGTATCTCGGAAAGTATTAGCCGTAGGGCTTACGGAAAAAAAAATATTTATAACTAAAGAGGCTATGAGAAATTGCCGGAAATTATTTTAAAGTTTGTAAAACGGCCGCTAGGTGGCGTAACTGCTATGGAAAATAAAAAAATATTTTTTTACAGAATTTTGCCTAGATAATGGGTACTATAAATAATAGCTTCATAATCTTCAGTAAATTTTGGATTTTTTTTGTTAGAACCATTTTCCCCTATCTGCTAAAATAAAGTGGTGGGGGAAGGTTAGATCTATCTTTATTTAAATGTTAATAACTCCGGACTGGATGATCAGAATCCAACAAACGAGGGCTCGTTTAAAAGAGCGTTTCTTACTCTATATTATACCATATAAAAATAATAATAATAAGGTTTTGAACGTAGACGTTAGGGGGCGCTTTCTTACAATTTAACAAACAGCGCGTTTTTTCAAAAAAATTATATATGATAGTATGTATTATTTTATTATTTGAAGTAGTTGAAGTTGTTGGCATTTTGAAAAAGCAATCAAAAGATAAAAAACGCTGCTAAGACTATCAAAATGTTGATCTAATAACAATTTGAAGTTTATACTATTACGTCAAAAGCAACTTTTTTCCAAAGCCTACCATGACTTCACTGAATCATCGTTTCTTGTTCACTATTATTAATATCTTAATTATTAGATATTAATACATCTGATATTATGATATTCTGGTATAACGTCGATTTTAAAATAAACTAACTGTTTCTATCTTATTTTTAGGTTAGAATGGGCATAATCAAGAGGGCTACTGATACCGTGTTATAAAAATAATAATTAAAGGCTTATTTTTTGGTATTTATAATAATTTTGCTAATATCTTCGGTTTGAAAGAAGATATCAAGATGCGGTCTTCGCTGGCTTTTTAAGCTTTTACTACTCTTTACTATGAGCTAAAATTACATATACTATTGCATTTATTTTTTTTTGAAAAAACGCGCAATGTTTGTTAAATTGTAAGACAACACCCCCTAGCGTCTACGTTCACAAGCTTATTATTATTATTTATATGGTCCAATATAGAGTAAGAAACGCTCTTTTAAACGAGCTCTCGCTTGTTGGATTCCTGTCATCCAGTCCAGAGTTATTAATATTCAAATAAAAACAGGTCTAACCTTCCCCCACCACAGGGCTAGATAGGGGAAAATGGCTCTAACAAAAAATATTCAAAATTTAGTGAAGATTATGAAGCTGTTACTTATAGTACACCTTATCTAGGCAAAAAACTCCATTTTCTTATTTTTTGTTGCAGTTGCGCCCCCTAGCGGTCATTCTACAAACTTGAAAATAATTTCCAGCAATTTCCCATAGTCTCTTTAGTTATATATATTTTTTTCCGCAGCCGCTACGGCTAATACTTTCCGAGATACAGCCGAGAGCTATTCTTAGTGGGACTCCCTGTATATTAAACTATATTTGAACACTTCTATAATTTTTTGCATAAATAAATTTTCTAATATCGAAATAAACGTATTTTTACTAACTACGATTATTAAATATGTATAATGAAACATATACTAAGAATATCTAATTAGTTTTTGTAATAAATAAAAAAATATATGTTTATAACAAAGTATAAATATATTTCAACACATAAATAATACAAATTCTTAATAAATAAATAAACTCAGATACATTATAATGCAGTTAGTGGTTCAATATATTATAATTGGTTATTTATTGGTAATGATGGGGTCCAATAAACTGTTTGTGTTCTTTAAGGCATCTTCTTTTTCCAAAACGTATCTTAGATCAAAACACAGGGAGCCAGTCCCCTTATCTGTTGGCAAGACACATATCGCATGCCCATTGATGCCTGCAATTATATATTTTATTTTATAATGGATATAATATCGCAAGATAATTAAAAATGAACTTACCAATGATTATCACAATAAACAGAACGAGAATATAGAGTTTCGCCATGTTTGTTTGGCTGTTTTAACGGTAATGATCAAATTATTTTTCGACTTATATATTTTAGCTTTACCAAACAGATTAGCTCATAAAACATTATCAATGATAATAAGCCGTAAATGACGAATTGGAATAATAAAAACAGATTCATTTTTTTCAGCCAGTGTAAGAATACAAAAACTATCTTTTTTTAAATGTTTCCTCTGTGTCACATAATTTACGGTAGATATTCAATTCCCGTTTTGATAAAAAAAATCATAGTTCTATTTTTGAAGACTGCCGTTAGACGGATTTACATATTTGTTAGAATTTATTTTTAGTTTTCTTCGGTTTTTAAAAAACAGAAATGGCCGCCTTAGTTTTACCAAATGTTAAAAACAATAATTAACCAACTCACTTCGAATGGAAGAGAGCAGAATTCCAAAGAAAATACTCAATTGGGCACCGCAAGGTAAAAGAAAGAGAGGGAGACCCAGACGAAGTTGGCGAGAAGGAATAGACGGGGACATCAGAACAAGAGGAATAGACGAAAATCTCTGGACAGACAGAGACCAATGGAGACTGGAAATCAGAAGACGGCGAAGAACGTTATGAACTGATTTGTATATAATATGTTATTGTTTTCCCCAATGTTAGTTCCGCGATTAGGTACAAAATAAAACGTGTATTAGGTCAAACGCGTATTAGGTCAAAATAAAACTACAATTTGACATGTTAGATGCAAAACAAGAAAGCACCGAACACTATTTTATTTATTTTGAAACCAAATCAAAATGCAAAAATAAAGGTTATGTTAAAAATAAGAAATTCATTTTGAAATGAATTTTAAAATGAATTCTTCAGAATGGAGGGACTCAAAACAGTAATGATTTCCTATAATCTAGCTATTGCTAGCAATCAAAACATGCTGTAAGCGTGTTTTGATTGCTTTGGTTTCACTCTTTTTTTTTCGTTTTTCTCGGTACGGTATTTGAAGTTTATGAATATTCTTATTAAAATGCTATATTTAGCTTGACAAAAATCGAAATTACAAATATTTCTTTTCGTATGTTCATCCACTCACTGTCGTTCTTAAAAAATATATGGACCTAGTTTTAAATTTTATATTTTTTTTTCGAAAGCAAGCGCTACCGAATGTTGATGGATTCCGCACTTTCTGGGTAGAGCGTTAGCCTTGCACAAACGTGGAGCGCAAAAGAGTGTAATTTACACCCAGCACAGCCATTTGAAAATTAATTATCTCATTATTGACAATATAACTACAGACATGTAGTACAATTAAATAACATCAATATAATACATTTGAACTGTTTTGAATGTAGATAAAATATATGTTAAACACACTATTTTGTGTTTATTTTTTTATAACTTTGTTTTCATAATGAGTTATAGTAATGAGTTCTACGGAGTTCCGCTTTTAATTTATTAAAGTTAATATCTCTAATATCTGTTGATACGGGTATAAAAAATTAGCTTTCTCAAATCTGCCTTTTTTTGAAATAGCCCTTTATTGACAGGGAGTCGCACTGGTTTCTATACCAGTCCTGTAATATCAAGAAAGGATTTTTTTAGTTTTAAGAAGACAGATATTTTAAATTAAGAATTTCTATGTGTATTACAAGTTTTTTTTTAATATTATTGACTGTAGGAAAAAATTCAAATGGATGCAGTTCGCTCTTCTGCGCTCCACGAAAAGTGCGAACTGCATCAATTTTCGGTAACGCTTGCACTACTCTAGTTGAACGGAAAAAAATATAATTTTTAGAAGTAGCCCTACAAATGTAATAAGAAAAACAATGGATGAATGAACATACGAAAAAAAATAATCTGGATTTTTGTCAACCTAACCGTAGCATTTTGCCGTGGGTGCGCCGCGCCGTCAGCAACAGATTGGCCACCCTGTATGTATAGAAATTATAATTTTTCACTTAATTACTTCCGTGACGCACGCTTATAGGTTATTTGTATTAAGTGATGTTCACTGCAAATGAGTAACACACTAGACATTATAAAATAAAAATTCAACAAAAAATAATGGTAACATATCATTATTCAAATCTAGAAAGACAGTATTTAGACAAAAATAAAAAATACAAATGAAAACAGTTGTCAAAGGTATTCCGAACTTGTGGTATGGATGCCTGATTGACCGAATGTCAATTTGCAATAAAGTAGAACAATAATTTGAAACAAATAAGTAACTGTTATGTCATATTTATTTACTTCAATGCTTAAAAAAAACAGCGCCTCAGCTAATACGGCTAATATTTGGTATATTTCTACTAAAAAGCTTTCATACGAATATGGCTTATTGTTGACGGCTACTATAAATCACATATTCGATGGCAAATGTTTCAGAGAAACCCTTTTTATTATTATTTGCATGCTTGGTTTGGTCTTGCCTAAGTCTTGCACTGGTCGGTCTTGGTGTTGGTCTTGCAGGTTTAATGCTAGTCTTGGTCTTGGTCTCGGTCTTGCATTTTTGTACAAGCAAATGCAAAGTAAGTACAGACCATCTAAACTAAATACCCAACATAGTTTTGATTACAGGACAGTTCTTGTATTTTTAATATTTTTTTAGGAAAGGCTGAAAAATGTATATTTTTTATTTCTTTATTATCTCTGAAACTATCGAAATATATTTACTCATATCTTAGGATAATATATGTGGTCTGAAAGGAAGCCAAAAATGCAATAATATACAGGGTGTTCCGTTTAAAAAAATCATCCCGATCCACTCACACTTTTTTAAGCCACCCTATATAAGTTAAAATATTTTACTAAAATACATCCTAGACATACTTTAGGTTTGCATTTAAACAAAATTCCTAAGTTTTTTATTCTAGGAGCTACAGATGCCCGACGCCCTATTGCTGGACCCTGTATTTAAAGACATATTAAGATTTTTTATTTAATTAATATTCAAATTACTGACATAAATCTTATTTCTGCGTAAAAACCGTATAGTAATAAAATTTTATCTGAGATAAAGATAAGAGTGATAAAATCCTAAATAAACACTAACCTGTACTACTCAACGAGTTTGATAAGATAGTTAGCTTTCGTTAGTGAACCCCAGACCAATGGAAATCGAAATCCGTTGTAAAAGAATAAAATGAAATATATAACTATAAACGGAAATATAAACGGACTTTGTACTGTTTGCGGGATGCGTAATTTCCCAGCATAATATGGTTCACGACATATCGTTTATTATGTACTTAGAATGGCTGCTATGCTCTCCTTTGCTATGCTCTCTGGAACAGCGTGCGAGTCGTCTGGCTGCCGATAGACGTTGCGTTCACTAATGCGCATTGAAAGGAGATCCTATATATATTTTTTTTTATTATTCTGTTAAATACTAGTAGGTACTGAATATAAATATAGCGCAGCGCGAAAGCGTTCAGCCTATAAAGCGAGAAGTCCAGAGTTCAATACCGGCTCGGGGTAAAGTTTATTTTATTTTAACGTCTATCGGTAGCCAGGCGAGGCGGCCTGCCCGCTGTTCCAGAGAGCATTGTAAAAGATATATCAAAGAGCCAGCTTTCTTAAAATGCTTGTTTTCCAGACGTTGCAAGCTCTCGTAGTAGTAGTAGGCTATTAAAAAACAGAAGAGGCTTGTAGCACAGAATATCTAGCTGCGTAGCTAGATATTCTGTGCTTGTAGGAAGACCAAGACTAATTATTATTATACATTAAGTCAAACGGAACCTTGGTTTTGGTGTTGTATTTGCTCATCACTAAACAGATGTTTTCTGTTGGTACAAGCTATTGTATAAATTTAAAAAATACAGAATAAGACACATTGATTATTATTTTTCTGTTTATTGATTATTATTTATCTGTTGATTTATACCACAAATATGACGATGAGTTCATTTTACGTTGTGGAAGTAATCTTTAAAGATATAAACTTCAAAAAATAAACTAAACAGCAGAATAACCTCGAGAATAACAATAAAATTAAAATTAAAAACTTCTTCAAAATTGACTAGATGTTTTTGTTTGCCATTAATAGATACTAATAATAAATAAATTTGTTCACAAATCAGTCATTTTGTTGTTGTATTATAGGCCCGAGCCAAGTAAAGGAATTCGGAACTCCACTTCTTCAGGTGATGTATGTCCATTTTTATGTCGAAATCTGATAGGGTAGTACTAGTTCCTGAATTTATCCATGTTGCCAGATTCTCCAAGACTTGTACATATTACATATCCTGTGCTTTTTACATCGTAACAAATAATAACAATACCTTTTAAGGTAATGATAAATATATAACATTACGATAATAAAAATGTTCGCCATGAATCACAACGAAGTAGATGTCTTGTATATAAATATTAGTAATCACTCAATAAAATTAGAAGATATAACATCAAAAACAAATGCAATTAAATAGGATTTGATAACAAAAAAAGCGGAATCGCAGTTTTCTAACCTAAGAAGGATTCTTCTTCTTCCTGTGCCGTGTGCTTAGCCGCACGTTGGCGATTGTCTGTACTCTTCATACAATGTGTAGACTGCCGTTTTCGGCTTTTCGAAATATGGTGGCTGCGTCGTTGATGTTACACCAATCCCGTATGTTTCTTAGCCAGGAATGTTGTTTTCTTCCTGGGCCTCGCCGTCCCTCTATTTTTCCTTGTAGAATCAGCTTAGGAATGTAATATTTGTCTCCTCTAAGGATATGTCCGAGGTATGAGACTTTCCTTTCTTTAACTATGTTAAGCATTTCTCGTTCATAGCCTGCAGTTCTTAAAACTTCTTTGTTGGTGGCATGTACGGTCCATGGCACACGTAAAAGTCTCCGGAGAGTCCACATTTCGAAAGCCTCGATGCGGTTCAGGGTTCTAGCACAGAATATCTAGCTACGCAACAGAAAAATACTCGAAATGAAAGAGCTAAAATTGCACAAATAGAATACTAGATGGCGCGACAATATCATAATCAGAATATAATTAGAAATTTTGAACTTTCGGTTTTGGATCGACGGCTCGTGGACGGCCTTATAGCTCGGCTAAATATGCACAGTTGCCAAATTCAAAAAGACTTGAATTGGCATCCCATTCTTTTTATTGTGTATAATGCAGTATGTGTTTCTTTCTATTCTTCTTTTCTTGTCAGATACACTTATATTAATTATTCCTTTGGCTATTAAATTAGTTTCAAGTATATTATTACAAAACATATACATTTTTAATATACACTATACCTTATAATGTTAACTAAGAAAATACCTTTAATTACCTTTAAAATTAATAATATACAGGGCGATTGATAGTGATAATTATTAATGCTGGAACGTACGAAGTAATTAAATATAAGTTTAATAATAATGGAAATAATTTATTAAAATGCAGTACAAAAAATGTTAACTGACTAAAAAATACTATAATAACAAATTTCTTCCGTTTGCCACGTTATTTATATAGACCTAGGTAGATTTTAAAAAGTGACACAGGTACAATTAATAATATATTAGTTGGGTATAAAAGTTGCTGTCACGGCATCGAACAATAAATTAAAATTCTTAAAATAAATTAAAATTATTAATTAATCAAATCTTTATAACGAAACGCAAGTATACCAAATTTGGGCCCAATCGAACTCCAGGAAATAATATCATAATAGTGTACTATATTATGGTACCACTCGGTATGCTTTAAGGTACCATAGTATTGCAATGTCACCGAAGATCCGTAGTATACCAAATTTAAGAATAATCGAACGCCATGAAATGGTATCGTAATATGGTACTATATTAAGGTACCACTTTATATACATCATAGTTCAATCATATTATAATGTAACCAAAGATACGTAGTATACCAAGTTTGAGCCCAATCGAACGCCAGGAAATGGTATCGTAATATGGTACTATATTAAGGTACCACTTTATATGCATCATAGTACCATCATATTACAATGTCACCGAAAATACGTAGTATCCCAAGTTTAAGCCCAATCGAATGCCATGTACGTAATATAGTACTATATTATGGTACCAGTTGATATGCTTCATGGTACCATAATAATGCAATGTCATCAAAAATACGCAAGTATATATCAAATATGAGCTCAATCGAACGCCAGGAAATGGTATTGAAATATGGTACTATATTAAGGTACCACTTTATATGCATTATAGTACCATCATATTACAATGTAACCGAAGATACGTAGTATAACAAGTTTAAGCCCAATCGAACGCCAGGAAATGGTATCGTAATATGGTACTATATTATGGTACCTCTTATTATGCTCCATGGTACCATAATATTACAATATCACCGAAGATACGTAGTATCCCAAATTTAAGCCCAATCGAATGCCATGTACATAATATGGTACTATATTATGGTACCAGATGATATGCATCATAGTACCATCATATTACAATGTCACCGAAAATACGTAGTATACCAAGTTTAAGCCCTATTGCCGCCATGTACCTAATATTGCTATATGGTACTATAGAAGGTACCACTTTATATGCTCCATGGTACCATGATATTACAATGTCACTGAAGATATAGTATACCAAGTTTAAGCCCAATCGAACGCCATGTATCGTAATATAGTACTATATTATGGTATCACTTGATATGCTTCTGAAAAAAATGGCGTCCAGTTGGCTGGAAAAGGACGATCGATGACATTTCCCATATAAATTTACATATAAAATGACAGCGATATTCATTTCATAGCTATCGCTAACGCCGTTTTTTCCCGATTGTACGATATGAACTTGGTAACACAATCGAACGTCAGGAAGTGGTATCATAATAGTTGAACAATACTTATTATATTGTCGCCGAATTACAATGAAACAGCTCTGATTTATTTTAATATGTTTAAATGATGTAGCAAATTTGAAGGTAGGCTTTATCAGGAAGTATTACGATATGAATTACACAATGGCAACACTGCACACAAAATTCTTTTTAAATTTTGTTTGTAGAAAACTGCTTTCTTTTAAATTTATTGCCCTCTATTATGTAGTAGTGAAACTACCACATCAAAATATCTGATTTGGAGACAGGCTTTTAAAGCCTGTCTCCTTTTGCTACCTACAGTTTTATACATGTAACGAGGCTTCTGTAGCGTAGCTAGATATTCTGTGGTTCTAGCCTTGAGAGACCAGGTTTCTGCGCCGTACAGTAAGATAGGCCATATGTAGCATTTTACTACCCGTAGTCTAAGGCTTTGGCCACACTGAAGAGCGGGCGGGCGTGCAGCGAGCGAGCGATAATCTGTTCGGCGATTTTGTGGACATACCGAAGAGCGATTAGTTTGTTTTGTTTCATTGTTAGTATAGGTTGTGCAAAAATGTCGTTATCCAGGGTGAAAATAAATATTCTAGTGACTGGTAATCTCTATATGCAATGGAATATATTTTTCAAAAAATCTCGAAAGTATGGAACGCATCCTATTAATCGAAGTAGACAAACATTTGGAGAATTTCATCACCTGTATTTTGAGTTAAGAGATTTTCCTGACAGATTCTTTGAATATCTACGTATGTCAGAAATACGTTTGATTTTTTACTTAGCAAGATTAAAAACAGAATTACGAAAAGAAAAACAAATTATCGTACGCCTATATCAGCCGAGGAAAGGCTAGTGGTAACTTTAAGGTAAGAACCATATTTACTCTTTAGGTTTGCAAAGTATATTTCATATTATCAAATTATAAGAAAATACATTCTATTCTTTACAACTTCCGATATGTTGTGTATACACCATTAACAACCCTATGTTCTATCTGCTGTGATTCACCAACATTTTGTTCCCCTTGCTGTACATCATGAATATTCTGATCCACTAATTGCTCCTTTTTTTCATTTTTATAATTAGTGATAATATCTCAGATTTTATTTCCAGTTTTTCTAAATCTGTGAAATCAGCTACATGAGGTACTAAACTTTTAAAAAACAGCAAATCCGCATTTTTTTCTTTGCAGTCCTGTTCTAAAAGCTGAACTTTCCTATTTTCCAGTTCCAAAAACTTGTCCTGCACATCTGGTTTGGTTCTCTTTTGTCGATTAAAAATTGAGCCACTTACTGCTGCTCTGTGGGATGGCCCTGAAGAATGTGAGTTTTGAGGAGACATATTATTATAATCATCCTCCTGTCCATTTTCGGATTCACTTGAATCTCCCGTTTCCATCATTGAAGTCCCTTGCGTTTTTGAATTAGTTTCCATTGATAAATTTCCTGCCTTCTGCAAAGGAACGACAAAATCTTTTAAGAAGTACATCTGGTCAAAATACTGCCATTTGGGTTTCCCAGGTAGTGAGGGATCTCCAGATTTCGGAACTGGTATTTTTTTAACCTCCTTTCTAAACTGATCCTTCAAATTCTTCCATTTGAGTTTTGCATCGGAAACTGAAAATAAAATCATTGGAATACTAAAAAATGCAACTAATACAAAATAATATGCACAAATGAAAACTTATTTTTGTTTTAGTTATTTGGCAACTGGCGCTTCATTTAGATCTTTGGCGTTTTCCTTCAGAATGGGAAAATCTACAATTAGCAAAATAGTTTTTGAGACTTGTGCAGTTATATGGGAAGAGCTTGTTGACGAATTTATGCCAGTTCCTACTGAAATACATTTAAAAAAAGTTATAGGTGACTATTATAATCGGTGGAAATTCCCAAATTGCTTCGGTTCTATAGATGGAAAACACTGTCAGATTAAATGTCCAACGAATTCTGGGTCACATTATTTTAACTATTTGCACTACTTTTCTGTGGTTTTACAAGCTGTTGCTGACGCAGATAAAAAATTTTTGACGATAGAAGTTGGAGGGCGAGGTAAACAGAGTGACGGTGAGACTTTTGCAGGATCAACACAGTTCAGTGTGGTCACTTGTATTGTAGCCCAGTGTTTAGAAAAATCGCTCACTCGCTGGACGCCCGCCCGCTTTTCAGTTTGGCCAAAACCTAAGTGTTAGCGGGAGACTGCGTGCTAATAGGAAGTTTTTAAGTTTAAAAAATGTTGACTTTGCATAATTCGTTCTAAGTTTAACTTCCTCATCGCAGTCCCATCGTTCATTGATCATGGCACCCAGATATTTAAATCGTGGAACTCGCTCTATAATATTTCCATCCACGGTCAATGCGGTGTTGATTGTAGGCTGGCGTCCTATTACCATAAGTTTGGTCTTGGCAACGTTGATTTTAAGACCGAAACGATTTCCCATGTCCCCTATCTTATTTATTATTTGCTGGAGATCCTCTACAGTTCGTGCTAGTATTGCCGTATCATCTGCATATCTTATATTGTTAATTGGAACTCCGTTAATCTTAATTCCTCCACTTTCTCCTTCCAGGGCCATTTGAAATATTTTTTCAACATATATATTTAAAAGTATTGGTGACAGTATACAGCCCTGGCGGACTCCTTGACAGACATTGAAGGTGTCTGTGGATACATTTTTGTTAACTCTTATCTCTGCGGTTTGGTTCCAATATAGTTCCTGTATGATTCTAATGTCTTTGGCGTCTATTCCTATCTCGAGCAGTCTGTTTAGGAGAATATCGTGTTTACCTTCTGATAATCTATGAAGCACACAAAAACATCTTGGCGTTGATCATAACATTTCTGGATTAGTAGCTTGATTGAAAACAAAGCCTCTCTGGTACCCAGCCCGTTGATGAAGCCGAACTGTGTCTCTCCGCTTTTTTCTTCACATTTCGAGTATATACGAGCATGCATGACTCGAAGAAAAAGTTTCAGAGCATTAGACTTATAAGTCTGTAGTCACTACAGTCTTTTGGAGATACCTTTTTGGGAATTGTTATAAAAGTTGATTTTAGCCAGTCGTTTGGAATTTTACCCGTATCGTATATTCGATTGAATAGATATGTGAGATGCTTTGAGTCAAATATTTTAAGAACTTCTGCATGCACGTTGTCATGACCGGGGCTTTTTCGATTTTTCATAACTTTCATAGCATGCTGAACTTCAGATTCAAGAATTTCCGGGCCCGACCAGTCTTCACAATTGAGAGGTTGTCTGTCTTCTCTTTGGTCTTCAAATAATAATTGTGCATAGCTTTTCCATGTGCTGCACAGATCTACCGGGTCTAAAATCAATTTCCCATTGTGTTTTAGGGCAGGTATTGGTGCTTTTTTTGTGATGTCAGTAATTTGTTTGACTTTTCTTTGAAAATTTACAGAGTCGTGCAGAGCATGCATGCGTTCCGCCTCTTGGCATTCTGCAATTACCCAGTTCTCTTTAGCTTGTTGGCATTGTTGTTTAATAGTTTTATTTATTTCGGTGTATCTTTGTTGTTGTTGTTCGACTTTTGCAATTCTTCTGTCCTCCATGAGGGAGCGTATCTCATTGGTCATCCATGGTTTGTTTTTCTTTGTTGTTGTTGGTGTCAGAAAAGCGTTGGAAATAGTCAGAATGTTTTGTTTTATGTTGTTCCATATGCCATCTGGACTATCGTTAAGTCCGGGATTGTTGTTATTACTTGCCCATAGTTCTGTTAATTCGAATTTCATTCTGTCTGCAACTGCTGGATCCCTCAGTCTATCAATGTTATAATGTCTCTGTGTTGTTGTTCTTTTCTCCGATATTAGTTTGAGTCTAAATTGAAAGTCTGCGATCAGGGGTTATGGTCAGAGCCGATGTCGGCACCAGGATAAGCCAGGATAAGCGGCAATCATTTTGATACTATTTTGATATCTTCTATTAATTAATATATAATCTATTTGGTTACGTACGATGTTGTTATAGCTATCTTGGGGAGATTTCCACGTGTATAACCTCTGTGGGTGAAGTTTATAAAATGTGTTCTTTATGACCATATTCTCCTCTTTACAGAAATGTAGGAGGAGTTCCCCACGTCCGTTTCTTTCACCTAGTCCGAAGGCGCCTGCCACATCATCAACTCTGCCTTTTCCAACCTTAGCATTAAAGTCGCCGAGGATTATCGTGATTTCATGGGGTTTCAAAGATCGAAGCACCTCCTGTGTCTGTCCATATAATTCCTCTGCCTCTTCATCTTGTTTATCTGCTGTAGGTGCGTATATCTGGATAAGATTTATATTTGTTGGGCTAGCATTCCTTTGCAGTAGAATGATTCTGTCCGAAAACCCAACAAGATTTCGGGTGGACTTCTTAATATTATTTCTCACGATAAATCCCACACCGTTTCTATGGTTCAGATCACTGTTCCCTGAATAAGAAGGATTAACATGTCAATATAAAAAATTTATAGGGTGGTGACAATTTCGATACTTGGCATTGGTATTTCAGAACCTACAAGAAAGATAATATTATAATATTTCGAAATATAAACTAAACAGCAGAATAATGTAAGAACTAAAGAAAACAATAATTATCAATAACAGGAATACGAAAGCATTTTTTGAGAAAAATTTGAGATAAATTTCAGAAATGATTTATTTATTAATTTAACAGACCAAATCTTAACAAATAAATTACAGATGAAAATATATACGACGAAAACAAAATTAACTATTCTCAATATTTTGAGACAAATTATATATTCGTCCTTTCTTGTCTTTCTTTTTCTGAGTTAAATTATTTTGGAAAGAAAACTGACGATCTGCTTTGAAATCATTTATAATGTTTTCCTCTTGAAATAGAAGTGGGTTTTTGATTTAGTCTTTTGAATCATTTGATAAAAATTAAGATGGGTGTGTCACGTCTAACGCTAGTATGTACCCTAGTACACAATAGCGTCAGACCCGTTAAATATTGTTGGTACATTATCGATACGTGCAGGCTAATGTGCAGGTCATGCATGAAACACTGTTTACCTCGATGTTTACGTTTGTCAGAAAATAAAATCATTTCCTATTACTAGCGTAATTGATATAATCCTGAACAACTAACAAAATGAAATGTAAATAAAATATGTAACTATTTTTTAAGATTATTTTGAAAATCCGTTGGCTCTCAATTTTTTTTAAAAATAAATCAATTTCTTTTTAAATTTTCAAACTTGGATTATTGGATTTTCCTTCTTTTTTGCATAAGATAATTTACTTCAGATTATTAGATAACAAAATGGGTCAATCTGTTTATTTTAGGCGGTTGTATGACTCAAAGAAAAATATATGATAACATTTTTATTACAAATCAATAAAAATACATAAAAAATTAAAATTAAAAACTTTTTCAAAATTGACTAGATGTTCTTTGTTTACCATTAATAGATATTAATAATAAATAAATTTGTTCAAAAATCAGTTATTGTGTTGTATTATAGGCCCGAGCCAAGTAAAGGAATGCCACCTCTTCAGGTGGTATGTCCATTTTTATGTGGAAATCTGATAGGGTGGCACCGGTTACTGAATTTATCCATCTTGCCAGATTCTTAAAAACTTGTACACATTACATATCCTGTGCTTTCTACAACATAAAAAATAATAATAATAGGTACCTTTTAAGGTAATGATAAATATGTCATATTAAGATAATAAAAAAGTTCGCCATGAATCACAACGAAGAACAAAGTAGATGTCTTATATAATTATTAGCAATCACTCAATTGTAAAATCGCTTATTTCTGGGGCTTACTCAACCGGGTCTCACAATGCAAATTCACCTCAAATATCCATTTAGTTGGTCATTGGCAAGCACTCTCTCATTGTACATGAAAATAACAAAACAAACATTTACTGATCTGGATAAAATTAATAGTTAAATGGTAAGACTCACCCGCCCCCTAGCCACTGATATATTCTATTCAATATATCCCATTCCATATTTTCCATCTAATTCAAATATCATTCGGTTATATATTGGTTAATAATCTTCAACAACTAGCTAGTGTCACCTGAAATAGTATAGGGGCTTCCCCCGGACGCAACTCTGCCGCTAAACAGATTCGCATCCCAATCGAATAAGCTAATTGGGGTGTCCTCTAAGTGGAGTGTACCTCACTAGTCTCTCTACCCCAACGCCGCATCGTGTCAATCGAGAAGATAAGGGAGACCTCAAACTCTCAAGACCAACCTCAAAGGAAAGACGTCACCAGAGGTTTTCTTCCGGTCAAACGACCCGTTGCCTTTTAGTACTTGCAACGTTTATAGTCAAAAGACTCTCAACCCCCAAATATCAGCTCTATGACAAAACACAACACAACAGCCTGCCGGCCTATCATCACTGCCTCTTACATCACAATTTTACCTGATCACAAATATTTACATCGCTTGCCATTGAATCATACTGTTTTCTCTAGTCGACTTTCAAATAGAGTGTTTTAGCATTACTAGATAAATAAATAGAGAGTTTCTGAAGGAAAGCATATTTTTTATTGAAACAGTGAATAAATAAAAGCATTATTATAACAAACTTATTTACAAGTTTTACACAATAACATTAAAAGATAAATCAAAACGTCAAAAACAAATGCAATTAAATACAATTTGATGTAACAAAAAACGGGATCGCAATTTTCTAACCTAAAAAGAAGACACATGTCAATATAAAAAAATTATAGGGTGGTGACAATTTCGATACTCGACATTGGTATTTTAGAAATTTACAAGTGCCATAATACTATAATATTTCGAAAAATAAACTAAACAGCATAATAATGAAAACCATTATATCAATATCTGGAATACGAAATCATTTTTGGAGAAGAATTTGAGAAAAATTTCAGAAATTATTTATTTTTTAATTTAGCAGACCATATCTTAACAAATTACAGAGCAAAATATATACGGCAAAAATCAAAACTTAATTAATTATTGTCGATAGTTTGAGAGACAAATTATATATTCTCCTTTTCTTGTCTTTCTTTTTCTTAGTAAAATTATTTTGGGGATAAGATTGACGATCTGCTTTGAGTTCGTTTCGTTTGGTTAGAATGTTTTTCCTCTTGAAATAGAAGTGGGTTTTTTGATTTACTCTTTTGAATAATTTGATAAAAATCAAGATGGGTGTGTCACGTCTAACGCTAGTGAGTACATTGTACACAATAGCGTCAGGCCCGACAAATATTTGTTGGTACATTATCTTTACGTGCAGGCTAAATATGCAGATCATGCATGAAACAGAGTATTTACGTTTGTCAGGAAATAAAATCACTTCCTATTACCGGCGTAGTTGATATAATCATATACAAAATGAATTGTAAATAAAATAACTATTTTTAAGATTATTTTGAAATGTATCTTAAATTTTGGTATTTTTGAAGTTTTGGAATTAAAGAATTTAATTCTCAATGGAAAACCTCTACCGAGGGGAAGGAGACTCAATGTGTATGGAAACGGTCGCATTAAACGCCTGGAACTATTAAACTACGGTAATACGCCCACTTTCAGCAAGGGTGGAATATCAAGTATAGTCGATGTCTTCTGGAAAGCATGGGCAAACAATATTAATGCAGACTGGAAGTTACTTGACGAAGATTCCGCGAGCGATCACAGAACCATAATCTTTCATTCTAGTCTAACCCTGAAAGAACATAGGCCACCTCATAGGCAGATTAAATGGAATGACCATGTCACCGCAAGATTCAGAAACAGGCTCGTTGAATCCATGTTTACTGTCAGGGAAAATAATATAGAGACAATTGAAAAAGCACTAAAGAATGCGTGCGATAGTGTTAGTCCCAAAGGGCGACTACCGAAAGACATCGTGTATAGGTGGACACCTCAAATTTCCGATGCTCTTAGTGTAAGAAATGCTGCACATCGTTTTTTGGTTTCGCAAGGGATGCTCCACCGTGGAGGCTATTAAGAGAATTTTGCAGCTCGTTGAGAGCGCAAAGGCTGGTGGATATAGGCACAGGGAGACCTGTCTAATGGTAGCTTTGGACGTGAAAAATGCGTTTAACACGGCCAGGTGGGACATAATTATAGAAGAGCTGGAGAGAAGGAGAATACAGAAATATTTACTTAACATCATAAAGAGTTATTTCTCCAAACGGGTGGTTCTTACTGGGAGTGGTTACAGTAAGATAGTCAGTATGGGAGTTCCACAGGGGCAAGTTTACGGACCTTTTTTGTGGAACATCATGTATGATCTGGTCCTCGCCATCGATCAACCCAGTCAGTGGTGTCTACACGATAGCCTTTGCGGACGACTTAGCCATTCATTGTGCCTATAGGTAAAGGTCTGGATGAAGCCAAGAGACTTGCAAGAATAGCCCCTAAAAATATAAGGCAGTGGATAGAAAGCAGAAGGCTGGAGCTGGCTTCTGAAAAGACCTGTGTTTGCAGACTGACCGGCAGAGCAAAACTGGTAGGGGCTTTGGAGGTCAACATTCTGGGAGTACAAGTGCCAATTAAGGATAATATTAAATACCTGGGCGTCTGGCTAGACAAAAATGGCACCTTTGTCTACCACACTCAGACAAAGGCAAAGAACGCACCGGAGAGTGCAAGAGCTCAAACAAGGCTCATGCCGCGCGATGGTTGTGCCGGTGATTGGGCACGCAGGATGCTGGCAACTGCACACGCGTCTACTGTGCTGTATGCTGCACCCGCATGAGCCGAAACCGCTCTAAAGCTGGCAAAGAATGTTGACGCTCTAAACCGGCCACAGAGGACAGTGCTCCTATATGCAAGCAGGGCAAACAGGACAGTGTCCACAGAAGCACTACAATAAAATCGCTGGGATAATGCCTCTGGACCTACAAGCTAGATCTACAAGAAGCGAATCTTACGGGCTAGAGAAAGGTGCTATCAAGGCAAAAAAAGAAAAATTCCTGGAGCTGTGGAACAAAAGATGGCAAAGCAGCGATCGGGGCGGCTAGACTCGGCGCTGGATACCATACCTGAGACCATGGCTACGGAGAGACCATGGAAGACTGACCTACTGCTTGGTGCAGTTTCTGAGTGGACATGGTACGTTTGCTGCCTACAAGCATCGCATCGGAAAAGCTGCCTCTTCCCACTGCGGAGCTTGTGGCGATGTAGAGGATGCCGGGCACGTACTACTGGAATGCGACCGACATGCGGCATCGGCACTGAGCACTGAGACGGAAGCCATCACAGGACCTCTGACTGAGGGAAGCCTTATCACGGTTATGCTGCGTGACGAGCATTGCTGGAAGGCTGTTGACCAGCTGTGTCTCGACATTCTTATTGAAGTGGACGAGGTAGTGGTAGCAAGACGTGTTAGATCTGTGTAAATTGTCCTGCACGGGCTCCTGTTAATGATAATCAATACTGTGATAATCAAGATTAAGACTAAGAACTAGAGCGATTCATTGTCAACGGAGTGACGGGTAAAGGTAGGAGTGGATGCTTCCGTATGCCTCACGGCGATCGACATCCACGCCTAGCATAGGAGAGGGGTTTAGTGGGTATTATGCTTTAGTATAGCATTTTCGCATCGAACCCCACACTTCGGCGGTAAATCGCTTCCCCTCTTCTCTAACAAAAAAAAATGGTTGGGTTAGAATGTTTTTCCTCTTGAAATAGAAGTGGGTTTTTGATTTACTCTTTTGAATCATTTGATAAAAATTAAGGTGGGTGTGTCACGTCTGACGCTAGTGACTACATTGTACACAATAGCGCCAGGCCCAGCAAATATGTGTTGGTACATTATCTTTACGTGCAGGCTAATATGCAGATCATGCATGAAACAGTGTTTACGTTTGTCAGAAAATAAAATCACTTCCTATTACCGGCGTAATTGATATAATCCTATACAAAATGAAATGTAAATAAAATAACTATTTTTAAGATTATTTTGAAATGCATCTTAAATTTTGGCATTTCTGAAGTTTTGGGATTAATGAATTGAATTCTCAATGGAAAACCTCTAGCGAGGGGAAGGAGACTCAATATATATGGAAACCGTCGATTATTGGGCAAAGTATACGAGGTTCCACAAAAAGTTAGATACAGAAGTTATAGGGTTTTTAGATGCCTAATATCTTTGTTATCTATAAATTTAAGTATACAGGGTTGGTCACAAAGTCGTGACACCTCAAAGATTCATTTTTTTAAAGGGAACCCCCCCGTATATTATTGGTTATTTCAATTATTCCTTCAATTTTAAGTAAATATTGTAATACACATAATGTACCGAAATCCAACCGTTTCCGAGATATCGAGGTTTGGTTTTGAAATGTTAAACGAAAATTTTGTAATTTCTAGACTTGACATAATGATATGTTATACATCTATAAATGCTAACTTAAAAACTAATGTCAAATATTATTAAGTATCATAATTAACGCAGAATGGCATCGTTAATTGAAACCGAACACATCGATATTAATTAAATCGATTTGTTTTAAGTGGTATTTTCAAAAGTCAATAACTCGGAAACGGTTGGTTTGAGGAACATTGTGTGTATCCCTATTCTTGCTTAGAATTGAAGGAATAATTGAGATATTTAATAATATACAGGGGTTTCATTTAAAAAAAATTAACTTTGAAGTGCCGACTTTATGGCCGTCCCTGTATATATTAATGTATTACTCGTCAATAGACATTTAAAAACCCTATAACTTTTATATTTAACTTTTTGCGGTACCTGGTATATTTTACACAGTAATCGACCGTTTCCATACATATCAGCGACCCTGTATAAAAGTGGGAAAAAAGGGAATTCCAGCATTTCCGCATAGAAATTTTTGTGCTTGGGGAGGCTCCTATATACTGGATGTTTTTTTTAGTGTGTGATCTCAAGTAAAAAAACTTGACCCGTATGGGGGTGAGTCTTAAATAAGTGCTAATATATTTTGAGATGGTATATTACGACCCCAGTAAAACATCTATGAGATTTTTCCGCAATAAAAAATGTGGCATTTTCTTTTAAATTTTCCTGAATATTTTAGAATTTTTTTTTAGAACTGCCTGTTCACCGCAAACTTTCCCACGGTATGATTTCTTAACCTCTGATATTACTAATGACGTAGATAGTTGTTTCTACGTCATTGGATATTACCATGGTTACAGCACTAAAAAGGATGCAAATACAGAAAAAAATCCTGCGGCTCTC